AGTATATAATGTGCATAAAAAATATAGGAGATATGTAGATAAAATCAAATTTACAATAAACATGGAATATCTTTATTGGGACCCCCATGAGGCATTATCCGTCGCCGAAACACTCTACTACTACCATTATAATTATCATTTTAATCATATGTATATTGTTTATGGAAAACATTAAAAGTTGATGAAACAAGAATATCAGCAGTCTCGTTTAAAGTCATCATTTCATAAGTTCTATGATCGGTACAATGACCTTATCAGCAAATACAATTCATCATTGAACTAAATGCTAACTGACGTATTGTAACCCTGGATTGTGGACGGATTTTCCCGTTATTTTCCGATCATGGCAGAGAATGTATGGCGGATGTGACCGGTCGGCAGGGGATGCTACGTCCTCCATGTCACCTGATTCCCCCTCTGATGGTCCATGTTTGGACTTTTCCAATTTTGTATTGTTTGATGGATTTTGAATTTAAATATGTTTTGTTATCTCCGTACTTTTTATTCTCAAATAACTATACACAGGGTTTTTTAATATAGTTTTGGGGTCTAAAGGAGGATTGTTAAAATCTACCAAGCTCATAATACAAGTGGTCATAAATATATTGTCTTCCAATCTTGCCAATATTAATCATTTTTGTACTTCAGAAACTTCTTTTATAAAGTCTGAGTGATAATATTTTGAATTAACATGGAATATTAAAATTGTAGGCGTTTAACTTGCATTAGTATCCGTGAAATGACTAGAAACAGATTTGTTTTTTTTTTCATTTTGCAGGCAAAAATGGAGGTTGTCGAAATCTGATAAAGCTCAGAATATAAGAAATCTTAACATTGTGAAAAATATAACCTATTTATTTCAAAAACGACTTTTTATACCGTCTGAAATAAAATATGAACAATATAGAAAGTTAAGGCGTTAAAGTGTCGTCCGTGTGTAAAATTTCACACAAATGCGTTTCATGAGCATGGTTATCAAGACTAACATAAGGTATGAAAAAATGCGTGAAAATGGAAATACTATAGTAACAGAATTACCGATGCCTATGGGATACATACAAGATGCAAGCTCTTAGGCCATAAATAAACACAGAAGCTTGGCATTTGAACGTTTTTCCTAATAAACTCCTTGAGGGTAACTAGATTGCTTTCACTTTCATTTGTTTATCGAAAAAACTTGTTTGGCAAGGACTGGATTTAGGGAAAACCAGTTGCGTTTGACAGAGCAAAGGTCAATCGTTTGTATTAATTCCTTGCAAGGAATAAATAGAAACTAATCTCAACAAGTATAAATAAGGTTCAAATAAAGATAATCAATTTGAATGTGCATTTCAAAATTAAAGTGGAAGGGATAAGTAAGAAAAATTAAAAAGGAGAAACAAGGCTGCCGTACACTAACAAAACTTTACGAAAATAGAATAACAAGAGGCCAATTGGCCACATCCCTCACCTAAGTAGCTTTGGCCATGCTGTTCTTTACCAGACCCCCCACCCCCCCGTAATACCTTTTGTGACCCAACCCTACCGCACGGCTCAATGACCGTTATAATTTGGACAATTGAAAATCTACACTATCCCATGACGCTTTTACATAAGTTTCAGTTTTTCTGGCCAAGAAGTTTTGAGAGTTAACTATGAGTACGGTCAATTCTTAAGCCAAGCAGGCAAATCACATGTTAGTCTATGTTACTGGGATTTCCATAACATCGATCGTTTAACGAGGCTAGGGGGTGGCAGCCATTTTTAGACTATTTCAATCTCCTTTAAAAGGAGAGCTCCATATAAAGATATACAAAATGATAAAATTTTAAAAACTAAAATATATGAATTTTTTCTTTGCCAAATGATAGTTGACAGCTAAATATACCGTATCTAAAAAAAAATAAGTTAAATCTGGTGGTTAATTTTTGATTAAATTGTTGACCCGCCAGCCTCCTTAAGGCAATATATCCAAGTATAACTCAATGGCCGTTATGATGAGCTTCTTAAACCTGTTTCACAACAATTGTTAAGCCTTTTAAGGTACTTAATTTGACTACGGAATGTTCCGTCTATATGATCAAATCACAAATAACTCAAGGAAGGTATTACTGGTAAGGAAGCTTTACCCGCCTACACCCTTACTCTCACCCTTGGAATATCTGGGGGTCCTTGTGTATGTCCTTTTCACAGATCTGTATTCCTCGTGTACTTTTTTACATCGATAATTGTTTGTTCCTGTCAATTTTTAATCTAACAGCAACTAATTAAATTTTTAAGTTACATATGTATATGAAATATAGGAATTTCTGTAATTATTTAGCCCCATTAAGTTATGTCAATTCAGCTTTTTAGAAAAATTCAGTCAGAACCTTTAACATTCAAAGTATATATGTTTTATAACATATTTGAATCAAACAATGCCACTCGTTCAACAATCAAATAATATATACATGTATATATATATATATATGCTCATAAATAAAAAAAAAAATTAAGACTTGACTACATGATTGTTGAATCTAATATCTTGGAACTTTAGTCAAACACATTTATCAAAAAAATATTTTCCATTATGATATGATAGGAATTATAACTATAGGTCTCAATTTATGTTTTTAAATGAAATATATGGAGATAACAAACACTATCCAGACTCAATAGTCCATTAAACAGTATAAAATAGGAGCAGAGCAAACAAAGACCTCCGAAACATCAGAGTTGACCGTGTTCTCCTTAAGCTTGTCATGATTGGAAAATAACGGAAAACCCGTCGACTATATTCAGTGTGTAAATAATGATTCAACAATCAGTATGATACATTTCAGACAGCGTTTGTTTCAATGATAAATTGTATTTGCTGACAAGGTTATTATATTGACCACAGAGTTAACGGAATGACTTTAAACGAAACTGTTGATATACTTGTTTCATCAACTTGTTTGTCAGTAATTTATTCTTTTAATAAACTGTACATACATAGAGCATGCTCTTGCGTAAAGAATCAACTCAAATAAAATTTTACACTTTCACTCATCAAACTTTGCCCAGAAATGACGATATATGAAAGAAGTTAAGATAAAAAATTTTCCGCCGTTTTGACGAAAAATCACACAAAATCTCCATACAATTGAGTTCAATATCTCAAAACTGATATCACTGACCCCTAACTTTTCTTTCATTCTTTAAGCAACATGATACATCTTACTTCTAATCGATCAGCGCTTAGATTTGATATAAAAAGTTTTATCCAAGAATTTTCAAAATTTTTCATTGCATATTTAGATTAATGCGATACCTTAAGATGCAAAAAAATCACACAATATATTATGCGCTTTTCTCAATGAAAAATTCTATTCAAAATACTTTATGTAAAATAAGATTGTATTTATTGCCATAATAAGATGTTGTAAACTATGATATAAAGATAAAATAATTGTCCAAAGAGTCATGATTTAAATGCATACCGACCCTTCATTTCCCTTGTGATTTTGAGTTATACTAAGGACTTACATGTATCTAAAATATACTTTTGAAAAATCTCTGATATACATGCTACTTATTCCCCAATTGAGATGAGCATTATTAAACATGAAAGCGTTGTGTAGGCCTAGGATTATTGTGCTTGTGTAACATTTAACACAAATGTGTTTCAGGGGCAAGGTTTTCCAGGTAAAAAGAGTCAGCAAAGGTATGAAAAATGCATCAAAATAGAAATATAGTAGATAAATTAAGCTCTTAAGACAAGAATAGACACATGTGGTTAAACGATTTACCTGAGCGACTCCTTGGGGGTCCCTAGTTGCTTTCACTTTCACTTGTTTATAAAAAGAACTATTTGGTAAGTGTGTAAGGGCAACCAGTCGTTTTGTATTAATTACTCTCAACAAATAAAAAATGAAAGTATTCTAAAAGAAAAAAATAAATTAATACAAATAAAGATAATGAGAGTGTATTTCAAAATAAATGTATCGGGGGACATGTGTTGGGAATATGACACAATGTTGTCATAAACTAAGATATGTACAAGACAAACAGAATATATCGTCAACGCCCCTTACATAAATGTACATGTAGTAATAACCCGTATCACGTATGCGTGCATATGTTTATACATGTGTATCTCTCGAAATATGCGAGCATGCTTTTAGTGTAACTAATTTTTAATTCAGAACAGGTTACGTACATGCTTATCTTCTTTTTTTTTGAAAAAAATAAATACTTGAATCATGATTATATATTATATGAAATGAATAAGTATAACCAATATGTTCAAAATCTCACAAAAATAAAATGTATAGTGACAAAGCGATGTAAAGATAAACAAAGATGCTCGCAAAAAGGTGGAATTCCTCAGCTTCATTTATGTATGTTAATCGGTAGCTTTTCATAAAACTCCAGTAAGAAATTAAGCTTCAAATCATTTATTACAATTCAATTCTTCTAAACATTCAATTAAGAAAAAGTGCTCACAAATACATAAAGAAGAAAAATTTGAACAAAAATAAATTTGTAAAATTGAAAATGAAAAAAAAGGTCAACCCAATTCTGCCATAGCTTAGTAAGATGCACACTGACCCTAATTTTCCTCGCAATTTTGTGTTATGCTGTATGCTGTACGAGAACTTATCTAAAAGTATACTTCTAAAAAATTCCTGATATTACTCAGTTCACGAGTGACAGAATTAACCTTTTAAAAATGTTAAAGTGAAATTAGCCTTATGACAAATGAAACTCAAACTGAAAAGTGTTTATCAGTGCACGTTATTTAATTAAAGCATCTTTAAGATGTTTAAAAGGTTATTGTTTTTTGTTTTTTTTTTTTTTTTTGGGGGGGGGGGGGGGGTTGATCATTTGTTTTTAAATATTACTGCGAATGCTGGGATGCCTTTGGCGTTTGTTAAGGTGTATGGGAGGGTGTGTAATGGTGAGAGAGAGAAAGATTTGGAGGAGATTAAAGAATTCAAAGTGTTCACAAGTATTTCCATTTTCTGACGTACAATCTAAAGTATATTAAGCTCTTTGTCATCCAAATTTTCCTACTCATTAATAGCTACAAATGTGGAAATCCCAACATTTATTTCCTTGCTAGTGCTTTCTTTTAAAAGCGAAAGAAAAAGATACAAATTTATTCTGAATATTTATGCGCCAAGTTGACAACACCTTAATGTAAGGTAATACATTTATATATTTTTTCTTTTAAAGCAATAATTTCATAATGCTTGTTTCAATGCGTAAACTAGAATTCTATTTAGATAAAGATGATTATACATGTTTTAAATCTAAACCAGTGCCAAAGAAGGCTTTTAATTCTACGTGATTTAATAATAATCATTTTGTTTTAAAGTTTAGAAAATGCTACCAAAAGCATGTTTTTTACTGGTGCTGCTCTTCATTGGGAATGCAGGTAATAATTATAAATATATTTTGTTTTGTTTTTTTTTTTTTTTTTTTGTTGTTTAATAATTTTTTTTAATTTTATATTTTTGTTTTTGATTTTGTATTTCCGTTTTTTAATCTGGTCTCAGATTTTTTTATTTGTATAATTGATTTTTATTCAAATGAATAAATTCGGGTTTTTATCGGTATTTGTTCAATACCGTTGTAAAATTTTGGTTTGTACTATTTGACGTTTAAACCACACTGAATTCCTACCATTTTCTTATCAAAATAATCGTGATTCAAATATCAGGAAAAGTAAGAGAACTTACATGAGAAAATTATCTTCTTTAAACGTTCTTTGTAATTTATAAACTAAATAAGAATAGGTTTAATTCAAATTCCATGGCTTCATTGCAATATTCATATTCCTTTTCCCATGATTAATACATGTATCTTTGATAAAAAAAATATTGCGAGGTCGAATATATCGAAATGATTTTTTAACAACCTTTTTTTTAGATAACAAAGAAGCAGAGAAAGTTGACACTATTACGCAATTTGATGATTCAAATCACAACGGGATTGAAAGGTGAAGATGAAAAATGAATTTATAAGTAAAATGTATAAAGAGAAGGGACATTATTCAAGATCAATAGTCAATTTCATACGAGAAAATTTGAGCGGAGCAAACACGGATAACCAAAATATCAGATGTGGGTTCAGGTGCCATGGAGGTGTGATCGAGCATCCCCTGCCGACCGGTCTCATTAATGTGCTCGTTATCATGATCGGGAAATGACAAAAAAATCGACAAATCTGTGTGTAAATAATGGCCAAATAATTAGTTTTAAAAACATCAATCAGAGTTTGACTCAATGATAAATTGTATCTGCTGACAAGGTCATTGTATCGACCAAAGAACTTACGAAATGGCGACTTTAAACGAGATATTTTTACTTCTTCATCAAAAATTTACCTCGTTTTAGGAATTGTTCATACGTCGAGTATACTCTTGCGTATAGAATCAAATGAGAGATATAAACCCCGTATGCATAGAAAAAATTTCACAGCCTTCTTAAGAATATTAACCTTCGGATTGAAATGTCGCACATTCATTGCTTTGAATGCATGTGATTGTGAAGTATAAACATATATTTCCATATGTTTTTCGGATGATAATTAATATTATTGATATAATGCTTATAAGACTGGGGAAATGTGTTAGTTAAACTATCAAATTATTTTAAGAAATGAATGGTTCATATATTTATCAAGTTAAGGTGCGGTAAAGGTGACATAAGTCATATTGAAGAGTTGTATGAAATATGACGGAGCCTTGACATGAAATTATGAAATTAATTATAGTTTCAGACATTAAAACGCATCAAAAGTGTTGAATGTTAAAATGGATATCAAGTTTATTCAACATTCAAATAAAGTCATAATTTATTTCTAACATACAAGATCTTTATTCCTTGTTGTCATCTGCAGCAGCGACAGATCAATTTGTAATTAATAGTGTTGTAATATATATGCACATGGTGAAATGAAACGTTCGTAATGTTTTCATTGCTTTGATGAAAGAATCCCTAAATGACAAAATACTTTATTGTAAGAAATAAAAGATCTAAAATTTGCTTCATGCTAAATAGAAAATTTAGTTATCATGCATCAGTTGTTTGTTTTTATTTAATTATTAGAAAAGTTGTGACAAGAACTGCTCCAAAATATATATAAAAACAAAATAATTTAATTTCCGGAAATGAATAATACATGTATATACCTAAAATGATATATAAATGTAAAAGAAAGAAGTCAGAGGAAAACTTTTTCATACACTTAAGTTACAAATGAAAATTATTTTTTCTGCACTTAACGATTTTAGTAAATACTGTACACCATTATCATCAGCACGTGATGTCACTCCTCCATGTCACCTGATCCCAGCTCTGAAGATTTGGGGGTCCGTGTTTGCTCTGTTCATGATTTGTAATGTTTTATAGACCTTTGATTTTGATTACTGTTCGTTATCTCCATATGTTTCACTGCATGTCCTTTTTTGTCAGAAGATATCAAATCAGAACTACGCAATCCACCTCTAGATTCCGCCTTTTGTCTATAAACATAAGTCCCGTCAACACCAAACGGTTTGGTATGAATTTGTTATATGACCTGTAAAATGGAATTTTTGTTTCACGCGAGGAATGATATCTTAAAGATATTATTCGTTTTCCCAAATAATAGAGTTATCTCTCTTTTATAATATAACTGTAATATTCTGAATAATAATGAATGCATTTCGCAAATTGTAAACCAATTGACAAGTGCAATCAGAAAAGTTGTTTTAATCTTCTGTTGTAGACATCGGTATAAAAGGGGTCTTTTTGGAGCTGAGGATCAATACTTCCGGCAATATTTCCAAGATAAAGGGCTTCTCCAAAACTACATTAATGCCAGAACACCAGATGGTAGAATAACAAACTGGGCTTCGCTGGGTGATGGATCAACTTCATACACTGACGCAATTCGAAAGTCTACTAATTATTATAGAGTCCAAGCAGAAAGTGGTGCGTATGATGTAAACCTTAAACAATTAGATAATCAATTTAATGATTAATAGTATAGAAAATATAATAAAAGTTTTTAAACCTAAATGAAAATGAATGTTGATTCAAATACTATGTATTAATACTTATCCAAGGGACTTTGATTTAGGGTGCATTTTATCTAGATTAAAATCTAGGGTCAATGCAAACACCTAATCTACAGAAGGGAATACCTTATAATGTACCATAATAGAATCATGAAATTCATTCTGTACACGTATAACAGGAATGGAACTAGAATTTGAGAACTAGAAAAACGCCATATAAATAGAACCTCATATACTGTACATAGTTTTGCAAAATAGCAAACCAATTAGTGTGTGTACCAGCCACGTAGCATCGTTTTTGAAAGTGGAGGGGGAGGGGGCAGTCAGAGAATTTTTTTTTTGACTTACCTGAAAAAGTTGACAGGCAGAGAGAGACTGAGAGAAATTGCCAATTTTTTCCCATACCATACCACATTTCCCTGAAATCAATTTTCTGTACTATAAGGTGGGCGGGGGGACCATACTTTCAACGAACAATTCCAATAGTAAAAGTATGGTTGAGGAAAAAAGTTGGGGGCCAGGCACCCCCTGGCCCCCCTGTTGCTACGTGCCTGTGTACCTATGATATATGTTTTTGTAAACTTCAATGAATTTTAAAAATTGACATAGGTCAAAATGTGGATGGTCAGTTAAGACGGGTTCAGCAGATTGTAGATGATCGGGTCGCCCGGGCTAGCCGTCACGGAGGCCCAGATAGAGGACACAACCACGCAATCAACAACTGGCGAAATGGACAGGAACGAATTCAAGGAGGCCAGCGGACCTACTGGGCCAGGTGTGGTGGATCTAATGGGCGCAAAAAGAGAGGAATCGGTGCATTATTTCGGGGAATTGCACGCCTTTTCGGTCGACGAGGTTTGAGACGTACACGTACTGGATTTAGACGTACAAGCACTGTCAGAAGAATGAGATGTTGATTAAGACAAGAATTAGATTTCGGGTCTTACAACATTGCTAGAAGCTTATGAATCAACATATAAAATAACAATATTCTAGACTTTACTCTGATATACTCTGTCAAACTCTCAAATGGAAAGATTTATATTATTTTCTTTTTTCAACTATTTTCAATTATCTATCTATATTTTTGTGTAATTTAGCTTATTAGAAATTTATCAAAAATTATTTTCTTATTAAAATTTTTCGTTTTTCGGATTTCGTTGTTAATTTTAAATAGAATATCGGGAATGAAAAGATAAAACAGGGAATTATGACTATACCTGGCTGCTCGATACCTTAGAATTTATTTTACTTTTATAAGAGCTTCAAACTTTAACAATAATGATAATTACTATAGGTACTGTCATATATCAATAATTGCAGCACATAAGTGTTTCCAATTCTAAGCAAAGTTTCCACCAATTATGGAAAGAAGCTGCCATAAATCTACAATTTAACAAAAATTGTATGTGTATGTTCAGATTAGTTTGTGGCCCTTTGAACTTCTTAGATGATAAACTGAGTACATTAGTGAAGTTTCTGAAGTTGATTATATTAATTTTATTTTAAAATGATTTTTCGAAAGAGAAAAAGAAAAGAAAAAGACAAATGGTTATTTTTAAAGTTTAGCTTATTACGTGCACTAGAATAATTGGGAATTACTGAGTTGTTATCAACCTGCTGAATTTTATTTTTTTAGTGCATGGTGATTTAGGTGAATTTTAAAATGTTTAGATACCAACATGACGGCTTTCAAAAATTCATCACTATTTGGGTGGAGCGAATCTCTTTTCAAAGCCATGCACACCCAATCAACTTCCTCAAAAACAACTACCGCCGCCAATTACCTGTTTTCTTGCCATATGTGGAATAGATAACACAATATTAAGTAATTACTCTTGATGCTTTGCTTTTCACTGGTTCTCATTTAAGACCCTTGTGACATTGCTCTCGACTTTTTAATCCTCATTTATAGCATGGATTGTTAAGAACAAATATTATTTTAATACTTTACAATAATGTTCCTATTTTGTTTTTATTCTCACTGATGACCAGTCGCACGAGTGGTGCAGTGGTTAAAGCGTCTGCTCTATATAGAGTCGCGAAGTTAGGCGTTGAACCTTACGTTGCTGGTTCAAATCCAACTGTGGGACCTTTAGACCGGTCCTTCGGATGAGACTGTATAAACCGAGGTCCCGTGTCGCAGTATTAGCGGGCACGAAAAAGATCCGTCCCTGCTCAATGGCCCCAAGTGCCGAGTATAGGACAAAATCTGCAGCTCTCTACCGGCAAGTGGTTGCGTCTCCATATGAGTGAAAAATTCTCGAGAGGGACACTAAAAAATATACAATATAATCAATTACTTATGATCAAGATCGAAAGACAATTTCTGTATTATGTTTGTCTTTCGATCTGTATTTAATTGATTTAATTTATCGTGAAGTTGTATGGCGTATAGAAAAGTCTAACGTTTTCAATACTGACTTCTGAAAATAAATCTTTAAGTTCTGTGTATTTTTTTTTTTTTTTTTTTTGAGAATGTACATCTGATTAGCACTACTTCTAGAATATGCTGAAGTATGTCTGACGTTTCTCATTAATAGCAGTACACATTTCGGTAAGGAGTAAAGATCTGACTTGGAAGAGCATTTGCTGGATCTGACAATATAGTCATTTTTAAGGGGGCCGACTATAGTTTTCATTGCGCAATATTTCGCGCATCATAGTAAATGAAGCGTATTTATTGTTTAAATGCAACTTTTTTCGCTTAATTATAAAAATTAAACAAAATTAAGAAATTATATTTATAAAAATATAATTACAATTTGATATAACTGATTTTTTAAACCGATTTTGCAATTAATAGGTAGGTTGACGTCGCTGCAGTGTCTTTTTGACGTTATGATAATCTGAAGCTCTTAAAAAAGGGGTAATAAAAATATTATTACAGAAAAAGTAATAAACATACGCTCCTGAAATTAAAAACATAGAAATTTGAGAATATCTCCTTTAATGCCCCCTCTCCTAACAAGACGGTAGAATTTTGTGTTTCTTACATATATTGTATCATATAGTATTACTCATAAAATATTATAGTTTGAACAAAATGTCTATTGTAGTATTTGTATAATTTGCTTTAAAGTGCTAAAAATTGGAATTTTCCTATATAATCCTATAGTAAATGTACCTGTATTTTAAGACGGTCCCTCAAAAATACCTGGACAGTAGATTTTCCCCAAACTTTGCATGTACACTGAAGTTAATGTAAGTTATATATGGTATGAAAATAAAGAGTTTCGCTATTGTAGTTTTCACTCAATAAAACTATGGTTTTTAGTATTTGAATTAAACCATTTCTAGGGTATGGTTAGCAATGTATACAAGTGTTTTTTCGACCCAAGCGTAACTGATTGAAAAACTCTTTTGATATGAACATTTGACATCCAAAAATCCTGTTCATTCAGGCATGCATAGGTACACTATTGTTCCATAAAATATGGAATATTTACCACTTTCAGGAAGTTCTGTAAGATTTTATTGAACTTTTACATGGAGTGTCCAAACAAATAAGGCCTTGAAAATGACGTCAAAAGGGGGGAAGGATTTCCTTTTCCAACATTCTATAAAGTTTTGCCCGTAAAAAACTGGTATAGACCTAGGAAATGTTTAAACTGGCTACGGAGAAATAAAATGCATCCATAGTACTTGTTTTTAATGCCACAATAGATTCAGAGAGAAAAAGGGATGCAAAGTTAATGTCAATTTGAAGTCAAGGTGTGAAAAATGAATTACGTCAAGAAATGACGTTGATCATGTGTTTTAGATATAGATCTCCAAAAGGCAAAATATGCTTGCACAATCTAGCGATGATCTCTCCCAATTTATAAATCCATTCGCAATATTATTTGAGTTGAACCCCTCTGTTCATTACATAGTAAGTCCTGTAAAAAGAGGGATTTAAGTCCTTACTCAGCTCCAAAGAATCAAATCAAAGTACGTGTATCAGATAGAAGAAGCGGACACTGAAATACAATGACGTTGTGATGTTGTCGGAAGTCATGGAACTAAACGGCCACGGCGCAAGGTGATCATAAAATGTCGGTTTTTATTTTATAATAATTTGGCAAATAATAAAGGTATCAAGTTAACATTTTCAGCATTTCTGTATTTTTTGTCGTTTGATCTTCCTTATAAATTTTGAAAGCACAGACTATATAGCTACTGTACTAATTTTATAGCCTCAGTCCACGAACTTTTTGATAACCCCTCGTACACTATCATTAAGGTCATGGTCAATAGTGTTACTTTATCAAATCTTTTCTGAATGAATGAAACATTTATATGGAGATAACGAACAGTTTTCAAGATCAAAAGCCCATAAAACAATACAAAATAGGAGCAGAGCAAACACGGACCCAAAAAAATCAGAGGTGGGATCAGGTGCCATGGAAGAATGCATATCCCTTGTGGATAGGTCATGCCTTTGTTGTGTTCCTTGTCATGATCAGAAAATAACGGGAAAATTCGTCGTCAATTCAGTCTATAAATAATTGACTAACAATAGTATGAAAAACGTCAGTCAGCATTTGACTCAATGATGATGGTAGACTTTCTTATATTTTTAGCAAAACTGCCAACCAGTTAATATATTTTGGCTGAAGAAAGTAGTTTTAAACACTCTCTACGATCAGTTTAAACGGTCGTGGTACAGTGAAATGTTCAACTCGTCTAAAGGCCTTAATTATACAATATATGACTTCAATTTGTTAAGAAAAGTGTTCAGTATCTTTGCCTTGTAAGTCCTGAAATATAGTTTGTAGGTTTAGAAATTGTACCAATGGAAGTAAGATGACAAAATATTCCAAGAGAAAATAAAATTTGATAGTTATGTTCCAAAAATGAAATTTGTGATGAATTTCATTACTTCTTTAATTGCAATGATTCATGTTTTTAGAAAACAAGATTATCGTTAATATCAAAATATCAATATTTAAACCCCAATGACCCAAATGTGTTTAAGTTTGAACAACTTTTTAATACATTAAATTTATTTGATAAAATTATGTAAATTTATTAAAATATTTCTTTGAGAAAGTTGGTTCTCCTGGTGAGCCCTTTGTTAGTTTAATTCTCTGTACTTATTTTTCATGCCTGCATATATGTTTAACTATATTGGTAATCTGTCTCTAAACTGTACGATATGTCATCTTATGAGAATGAATTTATAGTCATAGTCATTGAAACAACTTAATTGCTTGACTCATACAACAGGAAATTGCATTATAGAAATATTATCATATTATATAATCTTTAAATCAAAATGTAAGTCATTCATATTGAATTTAAATTTAACACCGCAAGAAAATCTTTAAATCTTACTTTTCTTGTTATCGGGTCTTGCTTTGGAGGTACAATATCAACTTCAAGGAAAAAACTTGAGCAAGCTAAATGTACACTTGTGTTATGCATTCATGACACGTTTTTATATTTTCATAGTTATCTTGTTCTCATATTAATTAATTTCAAAAAATGAATAAAAAATGCCAAATCAAAAAAAAAATTGAATAGTTTTAAAATAAGATGTTTTTTTTGGTAATAATGATTTTTTTGCTTATTTCAAATAGATTCTATGTATACTGCAATTGTAGAACTAGTTTTTTAAATATATCTTTCTCAAAAATGAAAAGGCCTGTATAAATTAATTTACTTTTAATATAATATAGATGAAAACGAGACTAACTACAAGTGGTAGCTTCATTCAGTTTCAGTTATTCTATTGAAAAACTAATATTTTTATACGGGAATATCCATTTTTATTAGCATTTGATGTAGACACTTTCTAAGTCCAATTTGTAGAATAATTTCTGGACATTTTGTAAAAATAAAACATATGTTTATAAAATCTATGACCTGAGGGTTTGTTGCAGGAATATGAATTAATACTGAGATGGTCATACCTGCTGTGAACCCTATGTCATTATGACTATCGTGACATCTCACTTAAAAAAGGCGCATCCCAACTTATTGAATGACACACACCCCAAAAAACCAGCCCGTTCATACTCTTCACCAGTCCCCCACTCCTAGAGTAAATACCTCTGGTCCCTTTAGTGATTGCTCTCGAAATGATAACTCAAGCTTGAAACAGTGGACTTTTTTTGCTAAAAGAAAAAAAACATTAACGCAATAATGAGTAAATCAAAAGTAGACTTTTAAATGGTATTTCATAATTTGTATAAAGACGGGGAAAATATAAAAATATTTCTTTACTTTTTAAAATGTAAAAGATACCGTTGGGAGTTTTAACAAAGCAAAGTAAGCAAAATGTTTTCAAGTACGTGAGTTACGCGGACATAGTTTTTAACCAATTGTCTTCTTTAAAGCTAATATTTTCATCCTTAACAAAAGGTAAAAATAAAGATTTGCTTCCTTTTATCAAGCACAATATTTATTTAAATTAAGCAAGATGTATCTTAATTTTTACCTTTATATCTTGTCTATTTACTTCAGTGTAATGTGTGGTCAATTGACCACTAATGCCACAGACGCTGAGTCGGACCTGTCCGTTAGGCTGTCTTTGCTGGAGAGAACTGTAGGAAGACTTCTAACGTGGAAGCACCACATTAACCTAGGCAGCACCAAAAGAAGGGGTAAGTTGCCATAACAAAAAATTTACTTGAAACCTTTCTCTGATGCTAATGTAGGTTAATACATAAAAATACTTGATATATATTTTAAGCCTTTTATTGAGATTTTCTTTTTTAAGGTATTCCTATTTTCAACAATACACCAATAGCTTTCTGTGCTCGATCCAGTAGCGATCAGAATGGCATCAGTACTGGATACATTCTGAAGTTTGAAAACGTCATCACCAACTTAAGGAACCACTATAACCCAACTGATGGGATCTTCATTGCACCTGTTCGTGGTCTTTACCTGTTTTATTGGACGATGCAATGCTTCTACGCCGGAAGTTCTCACTGTGGTACCGCACTCAAAATCAATAATAAAATGAAAGGGCGGATACTCTCTGGTGACAGTTCTGGAAGCTATTACCATACCGGGTCCAACACAGTCATCCTGGAAGTCGAGGCGGGCTGCCATGTTTGGATAGAAAATGTGGAATACACTAACGTCGCCATTCGTGAATATTCCTCATTCGGAGGATCCCTTTTGCTAATTTTATAAACTTTTGAATTTTTAAAGTTTAGTACCCTTGGAGTTTCACTAGCATGTTACCATACACATAAGGAAATCTATATTTTTTGATACTAACAATTGCAAATATTTTCCTTGTAGTACCTTACTGACCATAAATATCGCATTTGTTAATTTTTGCGTAAACTTATAGCTAAGGTTGTAAGAGGTGATAGAATAAAACTATATACTAGTATTCAAACTTCCATAAGAACTTCTAAATTGAAAGCAATGACGGATATAATGAAAATGATTTTTCTCTATTCTGCATTGGATTACGAAACTTCATGAAAATGCTTACAAATAAGCATACAAAGTAAGTTCTAGTAAATGCGCAACCAAGTCTCTTTTGTTTCTTTCATTCTCGTAATTTACAGATGTACACTCGAATATTTGTATAATAAAAAGCTTGAAACTTAGTATTATTTTTTTCTTTTATATAAGGAAACTAACGAAATCAAATTGACATGTATGTGAAAATGATCAGGACTGAAAAATAAATTCAGCAACATTTAACATAATGTTTATCAAAAGCTCCAAAACTTAAGAAATATTTCTTCAGAGTATAGTATAGAAAATTGGTCTTGCTCTATAATCATACGATCTATTCACAGATAATTCTAGTAGAAAATAAGCAATTCAAGTTTGATTTTCTATATCAAAATATACATGTATGCATGGAAACCAATATCAATCACAGAAAATAAAGAAATTGCTTCATTATGAAAGATTGACATATCACATAATTGTGTTTAAATAATCATGTCATTAATAGGTGTTAAAGTCTACTTTCTTTAATGATTATTAGTTGTGACGTTTTTCATACTTATTGTGAGGCCATAATTTACACACTGAATGGTCCACAGATTTTTCCCATATTTCCCGGTCTTGAAAAGGAGTACACGAGGTGGATATGACCGGTCGGCAGGGGATACTCTGCTCAACCCTCCATGCAACTTGATTCTATCTCTGATGCGTTGGAGGTCAGTGTTTGTTCCGCTCCTGATTGTTCTCTTTTTTGACCATTTGAGCTCTAATACTGTTCGTTATCTCCATTTATGTTTCAAAAAAAAATGTTAATACTTTATGCTGCTTTTATCATGAAAAGCGAAGAATAGTTATCAGAATTGGTACAATATTAGTATTTTGCAATTGGCTAGAATTAACAAATAAGCATTAAATTTATAGGTCTAATTCAATCTTAAAATGTTCTTTAAAAGCCATTGCAAAGCTAAGTAGGTAACACAGATGTAAGCAAATATTTTAGGTATGATATGAATATATGGCCTCAATTAATTTTAAAAACATATATGGTAAGAGCATTCTTCGAAAAGTTCGTGGACTTCAGTCATATCTTATTTATTTGACGTCCGAATTTGCTATCCAAATTTGGTAGAAATATTAAAACAATAAATTCAAATGGTTTGTATTTAAAAATGCTCTGCGTATGAACAATTTTATAACGAGTTGAATTATTTACAAACAATTGCTGAAACAGGATTATCAACAATCTCATTTAAAGTCACCATTTCGTACGTTCTATGGTCTATACAGTGACCTCTTCATCAAGTACTATTTATCATTGAGTCTTTTGCTTACTGACGTTTTTCATACTTACTACTATTCCATTATTAATACACGGATTTTTCCAGTTATTATCCGGTCATAACAAGGATTACACGACGGGTGTGACCAGTTGGCAGGGGATGTTAAATACTCCATGGCACCTGATCCCACCTCTGATGTTTTGGAGGTCCGTGTTAAAACTGCTCGTATTTTGGATTTTTAACGGTCTTTCAGCTTGAAATTACATTATTCATATTCCAAATAAATGCTTAATATTTTCCTCCGTTGAAATGAAATCAACTTGAGAAAATAGGTAATCCTGATTGAAAAATGACAAAAACGATGACGTTTTAGAACGTCATTAGAGCAGCAGATAAAGCGAACAATTTTGTGATATACTCGGGAAAAATCCTGAAAAGCTCTATAAATGTTTGAGGAATCAAAAAATATGTAACAAGTGAGTTGTGCATGTGTGTGTAAATGGTTGACGTAGTATTTGAATGGCAGAGACTCTGTAAGGGCCGAAGACAATCTGTGAAGAAACGGTTTAATTGAAAAAATATGTACAAAATTTTAAAAGTTGAGTCGTAATGAAAAGTCACATAGTCGCTTCAGAGTTGCTGATCTTATGAGCGAAAAGAAGAAAATACTTGCTGTGGCCTTCAACTCGACATTTAGATATATCGACGATGTATTGTCAATTAACAATGGAAATTTCCATTCCAACGTCGATATGATATATCCTGGTGAGCTTGAGATAAAATATACCACAGAGTCTGACAAGTCTGTTTCATACTTTGATATTTTACTTGAAAAAGACGTTAATGGTAATCTGACAACCAAGCTCTATGATAAACGTGATGACTTTAACTACTTCCCTTACTTATGCAGCAATAAACCTTCATCACCTGCATACGGAGTATGTATATCTCAGTTGATTCGATACGGAAGAGCCTGGTTTACGTATGAACAATTTCTAGAACGAGATAAATTATTGACAAGCAAGTTATTGAAACAAGTATATTAGCAGTCTCGTTTAGAGTCATCACTTCGTAATTCTATGGTAGATACAATGATCTTGTTAGCAAATACAATTTATCATTGAGTCAAATGCTGACTGACGTTTTTCATACTAATTATTAGTCCATTATTTATACAATGAATTGACGACGTACTTTTCCGTTATTTCCCGATCATGGCAAGGAGCACACGGCGAGTGTGACCGGTCAGCAGGAGATGCTCACTCCTCCCAGGCAACTGATCCTACCTCTGATGTTTCGGAGGTCCGTGTTTGCTGTGCTTCTATTTTGTGTTGTTTTATGGACTTTGATATTGAATACTGTTCGTTATCTCCATTTCATTCATGTTAAGTTATAAAAGAAAATAGAACATGATAAAGGAATTTTTAAAACGACAAAAATTGTCCTTTTTTTAAATTAATGTCAAGTGATAGCAATAGGATGGATATCTGACTATACTGGGTAAAATGTATTTAGGGCCAGGATTTTTGAGAAATTCTGTACGCCAGGTTTTTGACGTTACATATGTACATTGCTGTTAAGTGTGCTCTGCGGGTACAAAACATGTTGAATTTAAATGAAATAAATCGATTTCTGTTATATCAAATTAAATGAATCTTCACACATCCACAAAACAATCATTTTTACAAATGATTTTTTGCTAATTTCAAATTTCTTAAAAGTAGTATAACGAACATAGAAATCGTGTACGTACTTTTAGAACAACCCTTGTATGATATTTAACATCGAAGCAATAAAGTATGATGGTCATGTGTCTCAACAATCATGTTAAGTGGTGCTAATCAGTGATTTAGCCATGTCCATCTGTTGTAAATAAGTAGGTGTCAGAGTCCTTTAGTCGTAAGTGGTACTTGTTTGTACAATATACTGGACACCAAGTATTCACGAGTATCTGCGTGTATTACCCTTTGTCATTCCAAATATTTCTACAGGTCAACTGTAGCAAAGGAAATCCCTGAATTTATTTCATCCTTGTTTTCTTACAAATTGCTTTATTAAAACCTTTAACATGCATAAAATTTATTTTGTAAAACCCTACATGTGAGGAAATGTGTTTTTATTGTTCTTTCAGAATTCTTTTCTTTAAAGATCTACTCGATCAAGCTTGCATCTGTAACTATTTCATTCTTGAATTTAATTTTTTAGAGTGGTAATAAAATGTGTATTTCACATCTTTTTTAAGTTTCGTGGATTTTTTTTATTTGATTACAGACTAGTATGCTGAATAGACACATATCCTCAAATGCGGGTTTAATTTTAATATTCAAAAACACATCATCTTCCCATTCATTCGTTCCAAAAATTTAAATACATTAAAATTGTAATTATTAACGGTTTACATGTATATTCATTCATTTCTTTCATTTCTCATAGAGTTAATCCCACTGGCAGTAATTTTATCATAACCATGTAGGTGAATATTTTGTCATATCTTCCATGTCTAAATTCTCTATTCAACTTTTTATGTTCGTTTAATTCCTTTATTTCTGTATTTAATGATACTTGTATTAGCTACTACCGGTAAGTGGACATCCGCAATTTCCGTCAAATA